AAGCTACATCTCTTGCCCCAACCAAATGCGACTTATGACAACTGAACTCCACTGCCGAGAGAAGCAACATAAGTAAGAGCCTAACTGCAGTGTCAACCCCCATATCTGATGGCCCCGTAACTAATGCTCTGAAATCACTCAATGCTTTAAGGCCAGAACCTGATGTTTTTAGTACAAGAATGCAAACAGACGAAGGCAGGCTTTTTAATTTTAATTTTTTATAATTTTTCCTTAGGTTGGTGGACTTGCCCATTATATATGTGTATTTTTTTTTAATTTTACATTTATAAATTCATCAAATCCAACAACTAAAGTCTAATATTATCAAATCCAACGGTAATAAAAAATATCTAACGATCTAAATTTAAATTCAACTGTCAAAATAATTATAAAAAAAATATTTTATGTGTTTCGTATTTTTTCATGATGTTCCAAAAGTTTCGTATGCCAGTTTAGTGATTTTATTATTTATCGAAATCTAATATTTTTAAATTATCTTTAAATACAAAAACATATATATGTGATATAAATGTAGATAATAACATTGGGTGGACCACACAGAAAGCTGACACAAAGCTGCATCATCAAATATCAGCCATCCTCCAATACCCATTCTTACCTCTACCTGAGCATTTAAAGCATTTAAAGAGATAAATCAATTTACATCCAACGAGTTCGTAAATGTCACGTTACATTTTTAGACTCGCCATATCAAGGCCCATTACAGACAAGTCTTTCTCCAACTTTATCCACTAAAATCTCGTTTGGCAGCTCAGACTGTACTGATTATTTCTATCAGATAGTATAAATAGTTACCGGATAATATTGATTAAATTAATCGGACGTTTGATGCAGTATCAGACTAATAACCGTATTATTTATATTGTGTTTAGTACTGAACAGATAAGAAAGGGGAAGAAAAAAAAATTGACATATCTTTGTTTCTTTGTTTGTTGAGATCCGAGACGGAGAGCCGAAGAGTCTGTGGTGGAGGAAACAGAGAGAGATGCAGCGGCAGAGAAGAGGGGGGGAACTCCTACAGTAGCCAGAAGAAGATGCGGGGAGAGAACCGAAGAGTCTGCGGTAGAGGAAGTAGAGAGAGATGCAACGGCGGAGAAAGATGCAACGGCGGAGAAGAGAGAGGGAGATCCTGCAGTAGCCAGAAGAAGATGCAGGGAGAGAAAAGTCTTGTTCTGGGTGGTTGGATGGAACTTGCTGATGGTGGTGGTTCATGGTGACTGGCGGAGGAATTGGGTTTTGGGATTTGTGGGATTCTTTGGTTTCTTGGAAGCTACTTGGAATTTTGGGAAGTTTTGATTGGGAAAATGGAGGGAGTGTGGTTGGTTTTTGTAAGCAGAGAGAGCAGCTGGGAAAAAGAAGAGAGGGGAAACGAAGAAGAACAGAGGGAGGGAGAGCCCCGACTAAATTGTTCCGTGGTTTTGTTTTGAAGAGTAGCGGGTATTTACCGGATAAAATAAATGGATCGAATTATTTAATCCAATAGTTATTTAATACGAATGAACACTAAACATCTTATTCCGTATAATTAGCACTATCATGTGCCAAACGGGGCCTAAAAATCCATGAATATGCCAACAAGCACCACAATCCAAAAACCTAAATTCATATATTTTACCATATTTAGAAAGAATATACTAAAAATCTTTTGGTACTGCAAACTAATTAGATAAAAAAAAAATACTTGTAAAAAATATAAAATAAAATTTTTAAAATACTAATTACAATTCTCTATTTAAATACCGAACATATCATGGTAAAATACCAATTTTTAATCTACATTTACAAATTATGTCACTAATAAAAATTAAACACGAACAACCATCCTCCAATCGTTTTGATTTACAAATTTTGACTTTTGGTTTAAAATTTCGGTCACCTTAAAATTATCCTAAAAGCCAACGGTTCAACAACCAACAATTAAACAAGAAAATTATTATTAACTCTCCAAATTTCTCATTCTGCGTTTCTATATTTAGAAAAAAAAATACAGTTGTAAGACACAAAATTAAACTACATAATTAGATCACAAGCAATAAGCAAGCATAATTAATGTTATAATATAAAGCACTGGAAAAAAAAAGAGGGACAAAATAACTGAGAAAAAAGCCTAATTTATTTAAAGATAATAGCTCAGTTCGACAGAGAATAAAGAGTCTCAGATGAGAAACCACCGGAAGAGCATTAGACGGAAAATCAGAGAATTAAACCATAATAAGGTCCATAACCCAAACCCTAATATGACGCCACCTAATTAGTACCCAAATTTAAAGACTCATAATAACAAAGACATAGAACGACGACGTTTCCATCATCCACATATGAGCAGTCGAAACGGCATCGTCTAGGAGAGCTGGCCACAGTCGGCGATCACCACCGGCTTCGAGGTCCTTCCCTGTCCAGACCCCACCTTTTCGATGTTCTTCACCACATCGAGCCCCTCGACCACCTGCCCGAACACCACGTGCTTGCCGTCGAGCCACTCGGTCTTGGCGGTGCAGATGAAGAACTGAGATCCATTAGTTCCGGGACCGGCGTTGGCCATGGACAAGATTCCGGGTCCGGTGTGCTTCTTGTTGAAGTTCTCGTCCGCGAACTTGGCGCCGTAGATCGACTCGCCTCCGGTGCCGTTTCCGGCGGTGAAATCACCTCCCTGGCACATGAAACCCGGGATCACGCGGTGGAAGGCGGATCCCTTGTAGTGGAGGGGCTTGCCGGAGCGGCCGGCGCCCTTCTCGCCGGTGCAGAGAGCCCTGAAGTTCTCAGCGGTGCGGGGGGTGGTGTCGGCGAAGAGCTCCATCACGATGCGGCCGGCCGGCTGGCCTCCGATCGTCATGTCAAAGAAAACCTTAGGATTTGCCATTGCTAGGGTTTGATTGGTTTGTTGGAGAGGAGTGATTTGGGGAAAGAGAGTACGATTAGGGTTTGTGATGCGTGGACGAGGTGACGAGGACGAGGGGATTTATAAAAGGGTTTCTGCGGTGGATATCCAGGGCAAGCTTTTTTCAGCCGTTGGATGGGAAAACGTGGAGAGAATCCGAAAGGGGATGGGTTAACCGTGGTTGGGTCCGGGTTTTAACCGTGGTTAAGTTATGGGGACCCGAGGCTGAGTGAAGTTACTGAAGTAGGTATATGCTTTTGTCATTATTCGGATAAGGGTTCGTCGACATCTCAGATGAGAAACGACGCCGTTTGGAGGGGGAATTAGGTTGCTGAGGCACACGTGGCACACGTGCTCTTCAATCAAAAAGTAAAAACGCTCACAATTTTGACTGGTCTTACAAACCCTATCTGGAGCAGATCCAACGGTGGAGATGTCACGAGGGTTAATAAGATGCCAACAAATACGTGAAGCCAAAAGATCTGAAATTACGGGTCAGGGGGCCCAATTTTTATGCGCCCCAAAAAAAAAAAAGGGATAAATTAATGTACACCAACCAGGAAAATGTGGGTTGATCCAACAAATAATCAGATTAAATTAAAGATTAGTTGGTTCTCAATGGAGTAGGCAAATAGACACTCAAATCTATTTTGATAAGCCACAATCACGATTCACGTAGGTAAAAACATTGCTCCAATGATGTAGTCAATTTCGTATGCAATTTTTGCCTATACTCACAAGTCACAAGGTAGGCATTTTTCACTACTTCCAACCAATGTTCTAAAAAACTCTGCATAACACTGTTTAAGCAACTGGTTACCGTCTCGATTAATTTCTAGTCGTTTGAAATTAATAAAAGGTGCTTAGACCTGCTTAGGTGTCCGCTAGCCAGCCTAAACACCCGCCTAAACTTGTCTAGGTTGTAACTCTCACTTAAATAGAAAACCGATAACTTTCATTTTGCATTTTATGTTTTTCAATAAAATGTAAGAACTTGTTGAATATTTAGATGAACACTCGTTATATGCTTGTTCTCATGTTTTTAATATGTTCTAATGCTTTATACTTTATGTTATAATTTATATGTCATTTTATTTTGCAATTTATATATTCTAAAATAATTATGTATTTTATTAAGAATAAATATACACTTATTTATACAATATATAATTAACTAACTTAAATTTGTCTAGGCCTCCGTCTAGCCGTCTAGACGCTAGGCCTCAGCCTATCGCTCAACTAACTCCTAGTGCTCGATTAGCGCTTGACATCTTTTAGAACTCTGCTTTCAACATTTATAGGAAAATGTGCCTCACATCACTATTTTTTTATAATAAAGTATTCCATGTAGAGGGAAAAAAATATAAAATGAAGTATAAAAGTAGATGTTAAATATGAAATAAACTAAAATTTTGCCTGCTTAGTTTTTAACTATTCTATTGAAATGATCAACTTTTTCTATGTCGCAATTGAGTGGCCAACTCACCACGTCAATAATTATAGGATAGTTTGTCTATTTTATTTACCTACACCATTGGAGATGCTAATAGAAAATATGAACCCCATGTCAAATATGCTTTATAGGGTTATTGTTCCCAAAAAGAGGAGGGCACTTTTTTTACAAAAGTTGTGGGATTCTCTTCAAATTATTCCAATTTCTTCTGGAACTAGTAATCATGTATGACAATTTTCATTGAGTGCTTGGTCATATCTTTTTCCAACACTCATCACGTGATAGTTACTAAGCGACATGTCCCATGACAAGCATTGCTTCAACAATCCCATCATTTTGTTCTAGATAAGTTTTTGTTAAATCCCATTATTTTTTTTCTAGATAAGTTTTTTATGCAAATCTGAATTGCATAACTATCCTTCCAACTTCCTCCAAACTTGTGTATTTTAGAAAAATAATTTTACACATTATTTTTTACTTCCTGCACGCTTCTTTTAGCCATTATTTCACCTTGAATAACAAGCTCACCACCATTCTAACAACTTAAAACACCAACTTGCTTATTTAACCCTTAAAATCAAATTTCATTAAATCGTTGTAATTCAAAATTACACGAGAGAGAGAGAGAGAGAGAGAGAGAGAGAGAAGGGCAATGAAACCGCGACACTTCAAGAAAATACTTTTTCCAAAATTACATGCAATGCCACGGTAAAGATATATGTTAGGTCCCACTAGTACCAAAAACAATGATAGAAACCCATCATACCATCAAACATGGAGGGACAGAAAATTCGCACGCGACAATGATAAATGGCCACGGATTTAACAAAACATTGTCCATCAATCATACAACACATCTTTCTCGAAAGGAATTCAATACCATACAAAGACCGAAAGAAATCCCACAATTTTATAAGCAAAATGTGGAATATTTCTGAAGCCATTCATCTGATAGATACAAAGTTTTTACATTATCTTCCGAAGCCTTACAGTTTTCGGTTTTCGCCTATATGCACAAGATTATCTCACAGAAACTCATCGGCCTGTAACAGTCCTGGATATATGACCGATACCATCTGTTTCAAGGACTTCACAGATGGTTTGAGGAAAGCGTGTCTCTCTGTCGCTACAAAACACATTACAAGAAAAAATGAGTACTCAATGAATGTGCAATAACTTGGTAAGAAACGACGAATTCAGTGCAAATGGAAGGCAGTATTCAGAGAAATGGAGTTTTACCTTTTATTAACAGTTTAACTTCCTTTGAAAAATCCTCCACACGCCCTAATACAGGTCTTATGCCATATATCTGTAGAACACAGAGTTCCAAGTGCAAGGCCATCTCCATTATTTGTAGCAGTAAGCAACAGATACTCTGGACTTCGATTTGAATCTCGTTTGATCTGTTAGCCTCACACAGCTCCCTAACAATTGTAATTGCTTGGTCCTACATCAGAGATAATAACACATCCACGTTAAAAAGGAACCTCAACTCGAAACTTACAAGTTATGGTAGACCAGATGTTTTTACATAATGAAACAAAAAGCTAGTCAAAGAACAAAAACTATCATCGTACCTGTAAGCCATGTAAGATCTCAGGCATTGGAAGCTCAGGAAAATGGTCAAGATCAACAAAGCCAACCTCTTCTGCTCTTCTAGCAGCACCCTCAGCTTGTAAGCTGAGGAACTTTAGAAGAAGAAAAGTTATTCTGTAGATCTGTAGGGCAATAGAGTCGGAGAAGTATGATTGAGAAATGTGATTGCCATTTACAGATGCTTGAGTTTTCATAATCAGCGCGGTAGATGTGGTAGGGATGGCGGAGAATTTTGGTTTTGACACACAACTGAGGGCTGAAAGAGCAAACCATCCGCTTTTACTGTTGATAAATGAGGGTTTCTTGCAGCCATCAAAATCCTCTTTAAGGACAGGAGGACATAAGAGAGGGGCACTAAGAGTCGAAGGTTCTCCAAGCCGTTGAGTTCCCCGACTGATAAAAGCTAAAAGATGGATACTTTTCTCTCTCAACTGGGAATCCAATTCTTTCATGCACTTAACCCAGGAATTCCGATGTTTTGCTAACATACACATTAGCATGAGAGTGTGCTCAGTTTCTTTAAGATCAGAAAGAGAAGTTTGTCTCTGCTGAGCCCGAGGCCTGGTCTTGTCCTGATCATTAGATGGGAAATCCGGAGCACTAAGATAGTAAGAAATCATATAGGCTTTCTCTGAAAAGAAGTAAGGTATTACATTCTCCACAAGATCAGAACAAGAAGAACTGTCTCCTAACGACTGAACCATAGCTGTGATGACTGCCAAACCAAGTCCCCAAATTTGCTGAGGCTTTTCCAGTTTCTCAGATGATGAGTTGGAATTTCTGTTATCAATAGTTACGGAAGAAGACATACCATCCAAGTATTCAGTGAACAAGAATCTCAGAGACGAGAGAAAGCCATAATTAATAAGCATTTCTGCACCCTGCCTAACACGGGCAAGAGTCAAAAAGAACTTCATTATAATAGGCACAGATTCAAGAGAATCTTTATCTTGAAGCTTCAGAATCACGAGCTGAAGCTGGAGGTGATTCTGTATAATTGGGAGCCAAGTGCTGGGAGTCAAGAAATTTCTAAGTATCAAGTCCATAGTAGTTAGGGAGAGGGTTCCATGCTCAGCAGTAGCAATACAGTTACAGAGAACTGGTAGTAGACTAAGACTCACATTAGATATTTTAGCCACGTCTTCGACAGAAGCTACATCTCTTGCCCCAACCAAATGCGACTTATGACAACTGAACTCCACTGCCGAGAGAAGCAACATAAGTAAGAGCCTTACTGCAGTGTCAACCCCCATACCTGATGGCCCCGTAACTAATGCTCTGAAATCACTCAATGCTTTAAGGCCAGAACCTGATGTTTTTAGTACAAGAATGCAAACAGACAAAGGCAGGTTTTTATGTGCATACATCATAAAATAGAGAAGCAATTCTGCTTGAGCCACAAGGAAGTGAAAGACGTCTTCAGAAGCACCAGGTACTGGAGTAAATGATTCTATTGTGTCGTGGAAGCTCTGGCATATGTGATCTATGCACGAAAAAACAAGTTGATCAGGGATTTGTCTCGCTGTACTCTTCGTCTCCAGCAACTGCAGTAGCAGGCACACATGAATTAGTTTCAAAAGAAATAATATATTCGTAAAAAAAAATCCATATGACCTTTGACACAAGGTATAGCATAGTGTTCATAGACTAAATTGTCACTAATGCTGTTCAACTTCCAAAATCTTTGAAATGAGGAATCAGATGTTTGAAATAGTTTATACAAAAAAATTACAGGTTCTGTAAAATATTACACATCAACATTTGTTTTTAATTAGCTTTAAACCATTACATCTTTTACATCTGCATGATCGTTAAAATATCCAACCATAAATAGCAGTTACAGATCAAGTTTTTAACAATGAAAAAGCAAATGAAAGCAATTAGAAATTCTAGAGAGTACTTGCATTATCCCCGTAAACAGTTAAGACACTTTTTAATGCTTTCAGTGCAGAAAGCTTCGAACTTGTTAGCAACACCATTGAGTTTGCAGCTTTCATATGATGCAACATTGTTTCTGCAGTTGCCTTTGCCTCCTTCCATTTTGAATAATCCCAAAGATCTAACCCCAAATCAGCACGTACACGTTTAAGATCAAACAAGTATGTCTCTCTTCCGGTTACAAAAAGATCACCATCATCCTTGTGTTGGTAAGTCTGAAAAACATTTGATTCAATCAGGAACCGAGAGAGTTCTTTGAATGGTCCAGCACTGATTTCACGGCCTTCAAGCTCTCCTTGCAGATGATAGTAGAGATCACTAAGTATCAAATAGTTTGGCTCCTTCCCTGCACTGAAAAAAGATAATATATTATTCATACATAGGCACATACTTATCATGCAATATTCATTGCTTCCATTTCCTCACGTGGTACTCTCAGCATTCTTATGAGATATAGCACATCTTATTAAAAAAGTAATATGTGAAACAAATAAACAAAAATCAAATATGGTCTTCAAAGCCTATGCAAATTGAACCACCCAAACTTGTGATTGCATGTCACCACTAAGACGGTTTGTCAAATACTGGAACACAGTATCAACTTTAAGATCACGGGGGGATGTTCATCATATACAGTCATTATAACAAAAAGAAACACTGTTACATGCACATGCATAAAGTTGACAGCACATGCACACAAACGGATCCAAATATAACTATTGAACGCGAAAAATGGGCTGATGATATGTAGTCAATCGACATACTAAAAATATGAACACAGGCAAGAGAGTAAAAATATTTTGTAATGTTTTGAAAAAAATATAAAGTAAAAATATCATACCGTACATCTTGACAAAAGCATTGAATAACTTTTCCAAGGTTCAGTAACTAAATGCTTTACTTATACTTTGTTAACTTCAGGGACTCAAAATTAAAGTTTCACACATCATTCATATCACAGGAAGGACTGTTTTCTCAATATAAGAAAACATTTACCGGTAGGGACAGTTATAAATATCCAGAATCCTCAGGTGACGTACCGTATAGAGGCAGTTTGTTGACTTATAAATGCCTTGTTCAAAAGTGGCAGTGCTAAGTATAGAAATTCCAACAGAAATTAACAATAGCAAACATATCACCTGTAACCATGCTGTGAGTATTGAGCTAACAATTCAGAAAAGGCAGGATGACTTCTCAGCTGCCAATGAAGAAGGGTAAAAAGAAAGGTAACAGCAATCAGATACAATGCAAATTTTACATTCTCAATTTAACAAAACGGAAAGTATTAAATATGAGAATCTATAAATTAGAAACTAAACTGAACCTTTAATGGTTTTCTCAACATACAATTATCTTGGATTACAAATTAAGTAACACAATCAAGAAGGGATCGAACCTTATTTGACAGGATTCTAGACTTCTCAAGTAATGACACAGACAAACTTCCTGCATCACCAATTGATAAGTTTACCATCACACGAGCAGTTATTACACTCGCAGCAACCTGTTAAGTTACAGAGGTATGAATACTGCATTCTAAAAATTAAGAACCTATAAGAAAAAGTCTGACATCCTATCAAGGAACAACTTCGTTAATAAGTTAGTACTAATGTATGTCATACAGCATATTGAACAGAGCAATGAATAGGCGAGAAACTTTTTATACAAAAAAGGACTTTCCTAGAACAGTGAACGTAAGCGGAAACCTACATGCTTCAACTTATAAAACATAATGCAACCAACAAAAACGCACAGAATGAATGAAGATGAAATGATAAGTGATAAATAGCCAACCAAAGTGAAGAAAAACCCAGGACCAAAACCACAGACAAAATTCACAAGTTAAAAAATTAGCAGACTCGTAGAGAAAATAATTCTGACTAGAACTTACCTTCGCCCGCAAATACAACTCAGGGTCATACGCACAATAGGTAAGTGACTTAGTCAGATTGCCCAAAACAGAGCTTCCACACCAGGCTGATAAAATATCTTCAAGATCTGCAGCTTTTGATTTTTCTGATCTTACTGTATTTTGTTGTGATTCAGGCAGCTGTTTTACAAATGACTCTGCATGTAACAGCTTTTTGTGCAGGAACATATCATGCGCTATTATTTCCAATATGGCAGATTGGCACTGGTATCTGACCGACAAATCTTCAACTTCTGTCTCAGCATTTTCAGGTGGAGGAGCTTGCATACTAGAAATTATCGAAATAGGACAGGACAATTTTTTCCAGAAATTTTCAGAGCTTTTCAGGCATTCCAAAATATTAGTGTACTGACCAGCACCTTGCCACAGCGCCCTTAGAAAATTAAGAACATTCAGCAGTATTCGGGGATTGCTGCAGATTTAGAAAAAAAAAGTAAAAAAGCAGAATTTTCAGGACTGCAAGCTAAATGATGAAGGGGAAAGTAACTGACTAAGAAACAAAAACAAGAATTCATTCAGGACAAAGTACCTGTTGATAAGATTATTAGATCTTTCAATGTGATGCAAAACTGCATGAACAGCGCTTGCCTTTTCAGACTCAAAATCGTTTATTGGCAGCTTCACACCGCCACCATTACTCAGTTGGACATCCTTATTCGCTTTGGTTGGTAATACAGCAACAAGAAAAGCAGGCTGTATGAATAAACAATTAAATAAGAAAAAACTAAACCACATAGTGGAGGACTCCAGGGAAAGGTTTCACTATAACTACATAAGTTTGCTTTGGTGAGGAAATGCATTAAAATTGCCACCATATGCACAAAAATACAATGCAATCCAATTAACTAGTTATTTTTTGGAAAAAAAAAAAAAAATTTAACTAGTTCTTTGGTTGGGTCAAATCAATCTAAAACACTTTTTTCTCTTTTTTTTGCAACATAAATTTTTCTTACTAATCAAGCGATAAAATTGGAAGTTGACAAGGCAGCATTCACTTCAAAGAAACAGAGTTAAGTAAATTAGGGCAATCGATTGCTAAAACACAATGCTTGCCAATCTAACTAAATATTTGTGAACGATAAGCTCGTATGTAAACACAGAATTTAAAAGTACTTTTTTCCAAGAAATTGAAAAAATAAAATAAAATTTTGAAGCATTAACCAAACAATTGTGAAGATACCTTAAATTAAGTGGAAAGAACTGGACCATTAGCATTCTTTCTTTTGTTTCATAAGTCTATGAGTGATACTCCAACAATTAAAAAAATACAGAACTTAGCACCTACTGTAACAAACCTGATAACATGCAGCAGAAGTGAGGAGATTGACTGCAGCAACAAAGAGATCTTCATTCAATTCCGACTGCTCAAGTAGTATGTAACTAATAGAATGCCTCAGCTCTCCAATCTACGACGGTTCAGTAGTGCCACAAACAGATTTAGAAGCAGTTGATTCACTCAAGTGAATTTACAAGAAATTAACATGGAACTAAAAGATAAACATAAACCAACATTACCTGTTTGTCATCCAGACCGAAGCTGCTACCAAACAAATATGGTTGCATAAAATCGGCCATCATCATGAACAGTGATAAAACCCTAGCAGCACCAACTTGTATTCCCTGCGTTGGGAACTCGAGAATCTTAATAAAGATGCTAAACATTATAAGAATATTATCCCACCTACCATCAAGCAATTCAGTTAAGGCCAACAAAGAGTCAAAGACACATTCCCCCATATTTATAGTCTGCCCAACCTTTTCATAATTAAATGCAAATAAGATGTGCATAATGCTATATTCTATCCAGTAGTGCATGCCAGTTTGAAGGTAAAAAAGATCAGCATTACGCACCTATCATGCCCAACGGTCTGAGTAACAAACCACTGAATGCAATTATAAGTTTCCTATGAATCCATGTGTTGTACAAAGTATATAAAACAGAAAACAGAAACAAATTGACATGCAACTCCCACAAAACAATAATTAGATAGATAATGGACACAAGTAAATGAGGAACCATTCCAGCAGAACTAACAATAAAGAAATCAACATTGTAATTTGATAATATATATGTAAATACACAGTTACCGAAATGGGAGAACTGTAGTATTTAGAAACATATCAAGAATGTAATCAACAATTGAGCATGGAGAGGCCATACAGGATTGCGAAAGTAAGATATCAAGGACACAAGCGCTGCAACAACAGGAAATGGTTTGGTTGCTGATGAGAAAACTGCTTGATGAAAAAATGGAGGACTGGAAGATATATCCTGAAAATAAACCCAACTGAACATCAACTACAGTACAGAATAAAAATACGTGTAAAACCAACCATCATATTACAAATAAAGAAATATAGCTATCACAGATTCACAGATACATATAGTTGGCAACTACACAGAACACTCTAGAATAGGGTAAAGAACAGACAAGATTTTGTTATACAGTTGACTGCTCTTTTTCCTTTTTAAAGCAAGCTAGAGGGGATTTATATTTTAAACTTGTAATGTACATCAAGAAAACTCACTTTTGAACAGAAACAAAACACCACCTCTGTACATCATCTAAGTAATACCAAAAAATTGTAACATGTGCAACTTTAAAAGTCTTTCAAACATAGCATACAATCCAAAATGCATATTCAACAAGCTTATGTCCAAATACCTTAGAAAATTTAGAAAGCATGATGAAAAGAATATCTAAAACAGCACATATAGCCATCTGTAAACCTTCAATCTCTGTTAGATCAACAAGCCGGCTGAAATAAAGTCTCTGCAGAAAAATGCTCCCAAATTAGTGATCAGAACAAACGACAGCAGGTCATCACCAAATAAGATTAAAAGATACATAGCATAGCCCACCTCCAGCGCTTGGGTGGTTGTACAAACAATCCGAAAGAGAGTACTATGGATGGAAGAATCAGACAGTAACCTATCCAGGATGGCTTCATCCAACTTTCCAGAGCATGATATTGATGTAATACATTTTTTCATCACTTCAAGCACCTGAAACAGTAAAATGATGTTGGAATTGACCTTCCCACCATAATTGACATTTACAACACCAAGTTTCCATTTCATAAACCCCAACAACTGAGTAAACAGTTAACTAGCATTGAGAAGCCACATTCAGGTGCAGAAAACAATGTTCTGTACCATGTATGCATGCATGCACTGATGCACACTGCAATTCCCTAACAGGCACACATTGATGCAGACAAAGTTTCTGATATGAATTCATTTACAAGCTTGGTTATTGGGCTCATGTGTATCAGCTTAAAAATATGCTTACAACTTGATTCTTTTATGCTTTTCTTTTCTTTGATAACAAACAGTATAAACACTATTAAATTTAAAATGAAGTGAAAACAGTACAAAATTGAACAAGCAAATCCACTAAAGATACTTTAGTTCTATATCAGCTTGTTATCTACTCAACAGTTCTGGAAGATCATTCAAATTAAGGAACAAAAGGAGATAAAATCATTCAAAATTTTCCAAAAATTGAACTTCCGACTCATTGGAAGTTTGGAATATACGAAAGTGGAGATTGACAATTGGCACAACATGGACAAATTATACATATACTAAAAGAGTAACATTCAAATTAATTCTTATTGTGTCCTTTTAGACTCAGATCACTGTTACTTCTACAGTGGATTTCCTCTTCCCCCATTCCCATAAGTAACCAAAGATCACGAAGAAAAGAACTAACTCCCATTGGAATGTCATTCCAAGGACCTTAATTCGAAACTCTAGCCACCACAATAAAGTCTCACATAGTGGCATCAATGCCAAATCGAACACGAATGGAAAAAAGCCAAAGCGATTATCTTCCCAATGGAAATCTTTACAGCAACCTCCTAAAAAAGCCCTCTTCCCCATTTAACAGCACTCTCATTCATATTTTAGAAAGGTATCTGAAGGACTCATGAATCATATGCCTCGTACTCTTTAACTGGTTAAGTTACATCAATTAAAAGAACAAATGCAGAAGGCATAAGAAAGACAAATGGCTTCGCACTCACAGCATAACAAGCTACATCAAATAGGAAAACAACTGCATGCAGAATAAACAGATTTGACCTCGTATGAACGGAAAAAAAAAAACTTGATTTGCCAAATTTCTTGTCATTTCTATAAATCTAAAGGCGTTTAATAACAATAAAATTACTCTCTTGTATGTGCCTGTATGGAACCATCAATTTTCTCGGTGTTTGACGGTTTAAGGCTGATATACGACACAATCCAATTACTAAGACCAGATCAGAATTTATGTTAGTTATACATAAACCAAAAGGCTGAAATCCAACAGTTTACATCCAAGTGTGTTCCATACTCATATAAATAAACATTGGGAACCAACTTGCCACAATACCAGCACAAGGGAAACCAATTTATGTTAGTTATACACAAATCAGAAGGCTGAACCCCATCAGTTTTCATCAAGGCTGTACCTTCAATGTTACTCTCCAACGATCATGCTTCACCTTGTATTTCCAGTATTCATGGTTAACAAGAACATACTGAACAGAGAAAACAATTAAATCCTGGACAGCATCATTTTTTAATCCTGTCTCCATGAGACCTAGAGTAAAGTCCAGCACTGCAACATTTTAAAATCATCCGTGTCAAAGCAGAAAGCTAAGTATACAAAATAAAACCAAAAAACAAAAAAAAAAAAAATCCAGTACTTCCTATTTTATTGTATGTATCAACATATTTTAGTACAAAACAAATCAAGATAGAACTAGATGTTATACCAGCAAAAGCACATCAATGCAAGACTTAGCAAAACAGAAGATGGCAAAATGAATGATTTAACATATACCTGATATAGTCAATGAGCAGTAACTATCATTCTGCTCACAGTCAATTAATAGCATCTTTGCCAGTTTTCCAGAAAGAAACCATGAACCACTAGAAACAAAAAACAAAGTGATAGTAAAGGTTAGAACAAAAAAAGAAAGTGCAAAGCTGAAGAAGTGCCATAAAGAGAAACAAATCTTCTACAACACAACTGGAAACAAGTAGAGTGTTCCCAGTAAAAAAAAAGTATCAAATGAACAATTATACAGGAAAACAAATTGGCCAGCAATATACAGTGGCGAAAAATGTCTTACGAAGAATGCCAGACAAAACACTGAAAAATAAATAGAGATAAGAAAATTAAATAAAGCTCCACTTTAGATAATTGTACACCTCAATTAACTTAAAGTAAGAATGTGTAACACACATTTTTATGTATGCATGATACCAGCAGAACAAAGAAAGCTGATATTTTCTCAAAGATTCACCTTGATGGATCATTGCGGCCATTGCTGAAATCAAATATATTTGCCTTTAAAGCCAGCTCAGACACACGAGAAGGCGAACTGTCACAATAAATGCATCTTAGAAAAACAGGTTGTGCTCATGACCTAGGCCAACAACAATTCAAGCAATAATTATAGGCTCAATAACACTCAGAAGTTCAGGATATATTATTTACTCACACAAAGAATAGAAGTGTTCAAAATATTGCATATAAGATTGCACTATAAATTTAAAGAATTCTGTCATGTCCAACTAGGACTGCTAGCAGTGTAGGGAAGTCATCAACGCCAGCTTAATTTTCTTATGAGGAAAGAGAACCTTGTTACTATCAAAGCAAAATTACAAACACAGTGAACAAGTATCCACCAAAACAAAACAAACCTACAACAATGAGCCGTATCAAACATCAGAATCATAACATCAAACTCTCATGCATACGTACCTAACAACACATTTCCAGTTGAAGACATATTTGAGTAACAGTTTCTAGTCAATTGCATGCAACAAGGCTAAAAATTTATATAGAAATTAACTTAAATATTAAATATTTAGCATTTTTGCATGCAAAGGACCAGCAACTTGTTAAGTGTATCTATACCTGCACCATATCAATAAATATTAATCTTTTGTTTTAGAAGACAATGCTTTCATGTGTGTCATCTGCATTTCCTCCTGGTACAGAGGATATCAAAGGGGGAGGAGGAGGTTTGAATTGGAATTTAGGTGTGGGGTTAACGGCTCTCTACCACTGGAGCTACAATCTCCCATCATATCTATGGTTCTTCCAGTTTCACTTATTGCTATGGTTGTACTAAATGAAGGCTTTAGATAATAGCACTAAGACTTTATGAAAACTTTCAAAAGACACCATTTCTGTCAATTTTAGTATAGCACAAAACCACAGCATTAGATGGAAAAGGAGTCTTCCACATAGTAAGGATATCAAAATACCCTGAATTAGAAAGACACACAGATACAGAACAACTCAAAAGAGAATAGGGGATAAAGTTACCATCTTAACATCTTTGCCAAAATATTTATACCCACGGACATCAGAGCAGCACCGCCTGAAGTAGGAGATAGTTTTCTGACCACAGTGCAAATGATCTCAACCAACCTGGATGGTAAAACATGAAAGTGCCAATTACCAGAAATGCTAATATAGGCAAGAAAGAGGAACACACAAGCACAAACAAAAAGGTTGCTTAATTACCGCATATTACTTTCTATCTGTCCACCCATGTCAGTTGATTGGAAATGCGATGAGCTCCCAATGTCCATCAAAGCAAAACATACCGCCTAAATAAAACACCAGTACAAAAAGCTTGGTAAAAAAGAGATGGTTACAGAAATGGAAAGAAATTAAGAGAGGAGGAAAGAGGTGAAGGAAACAAGGCAAGGTTAAGCTCAATTGCAGCTAAACTATTCTCTGTCCACTCTAAACAGCACAAAAATTCAGAAGTTGGTGGTGGAGGCTGATAAAATGTCATCATATTAATGGCAACCCATGGGGAAAACTATTTCAATGTTCTGATTGCATCCACGTTTATTTAATACAGCTTAATCGAGATTCAAGGCCTTAGCCTTGACACGTTAAGGCATAATCCTTTCAGAACTCGAACTATAATAACAAAAATATAAAAAATTACCAACTTCCATTCAACCATTAAACATATAATTTAACCAGACCATCAAACTTGAATACAGATCCAAACAATATAATCAAAAAAGCAATTTCAGTAAGGGAAAATCTACCCTTCACACATTCTAGTCCTCCTCATCATCACTACAAAGATCACCATGCAAACTACCATCAAGTTATTGGAGTTAGAGGGCGTTTCTCAAGCTTTTACTGTTAGCACCTTAAACTATGTCTTTTGGGGCATGTTTTATTATGTTCGGAAAGTGTCATTTTATCCCACAAAGCGTAAGCCTTGACGAAAAGTGTATGCCTCAGCCAATTAGCGTATGCTAAATGGGATAAATGCTAAAAAAAGGAACCCTATAAAAAACTGAATGCCTCACTATGAGGCGATCCTCAAGGTGTGCCGGGCTCAAACTTTTTAAAACATACAATAGAGCATGAAAATCACCAAATTTCATAGGGAAAAACCAAATGTTAACAACAAATTGTAATATAAACTAATTGATGTAACCAATAGGCTTCGAATCCATAAAGACTCCAGCAATGAATGATGAAAACCATACTGTGTTAAAGGTAACCATCCGCCTAAATAGGTCAAGGATAAGAAGAGCCTCGTCATTTCTGTCAAAATACAGCTCCTGGGACAGGCGCATGAGCAATACTAGCACCCCAGATTGTTTATACTGTACAAAAGAAGGCATAAATTAGCACGAAACAGCAACCAAATAAAATTTAATTGAAAATACAGTTGGATATCTTATATTACTTTCCTGGATATACTGTTTTACAACCCACTTAGTAAGAATGGACATGTCACCCGTTATCTCAGAAAAAACCATGGCTAGTAGAAACTAAAGTAATACAAAATCAAAAAAGATAAAAGGAAGATAATTTAGGAAATAAAATTTTGATGTCGCACGCGTAGTGTGTATAATTGAGACATAAAAAATTAAAACAATTTAACCCTTTGAGGATAGTAATAATTTTTCACATGATAACTCCTGAAAATGACTATTCAATTTTCAAACTACACTAGAAAAAGCATTTTGCAAAACATTGAAGAGGAAGGAGAAAAACAACACACACAGATAAATGCACTAACATTGGAAAAGTCTCTTTAAAGTATAACCTAATACCCGTGCACTTATAAGCAGTCGAAAGTCTAGTGATATTTGTCTAGAATATACAAAAGTCACCAATACAAAGTAATTACCAATATTAGTTAAAGTAATTGGCCATTTACCTCCCATCGTACAAGAGCGGCATTTCCACTAACTAATCTTAAAACATGTCCACAAGTTTTACTGGGAATAACCAGACCTTCAAATCCAGGAACATGCAGCGGGAGGTGCGTCTCAACAATTTGAGACATGTCCTCCCCAACGGAGCCATTATTAATCTCAACAAGGGATGAAATACCCACAGACTTATCCAAAAAGTTATACCTGTTGACAGGATGATTACACAACAATGAGGGAACGACATAATAATTAATTCTTTAGATAATCGATTATAATTAATCGATACAAAAATTCTTCTTATTATCAAGTTCAACTAATAAAGTAAAAACTTCCTGACTGAGGATTTCGATAACCAAATTAAAGTTTAACCCTACACCCATATAGTGATTAGGTCTATAACTCATTTTGTTTATCAAAAACTAGAATTTGGACAACCATGCCAAATAAGTCTACTTACACACATTCTGCAGGCCAAGTTCCTTCACAAAGTGATGATAAAAAGCGAACTAGTTCCACTGTCCTGAAAGGAAATTCACCCTCTAAGTTGCAAAGAAGACACCGGATAGGGCCATCAATAAAACTCTCACGATCCCAAAACTGGATACAAAGTGACTCCTGCAAAATTGAGAAGAATTTCAAATACACTATTCAAACAATAATCGCAATTTGAACTTTATAATAATTATTTTATTGAATCACAGATGCTGGAAGATAATCTGTGTCCAAACCTCTCCCTGATAAATTTTGCAAAGAATATCCAGTATTAACTTCAGAGACTTATCTTCCAGCTGCACAAAACAAGGACAGAAGAAATTAGGAATACATCCAACAAAATGCCAACAAGGTTTTAGCAGAGGTCCATTATGCATTTACCTGAAGATTGATCTCATAAGATGCAATAAATGCAGATATAAAAGTTCTCAACACACTGTGATACCCATCAGCAGGCCCCTAAGGAGAAAGAGACACAAAAAATATCACTCTTTAGGAAATGAAAAGACTTTGTGAGGGAAGAGACCAAAAAAAAAAAACTTAAAATGGAAAAGTCAAAACATAAATCAAAACTCGTTGACACCTCGAGATGGATCCCAAGCGGCGAAAAAACCAAGCAGAAAACTTGAACATATGGGGCACCACTAGAAACTGATCACTCTAAACACATACACTTACAAATTGAGAATAACTTACATCTGATTCTTTCAATACATCACTTTGAAGGATTTCAACACAATAAGTCAAAGATGCAGCCTCGAACGCTTGACGAACATAACCAACATGATCAATTTCCTGGAAAATAAAAGAAAAACTAAGCACAGTAATTATGGGAATTGCTATTAGCACTCCAAAATTCTCATTTTGCACTCCAAGCTTTCTATATTTAGAAAGAAAAATACACTTGTGAGGAGTGCAAAATGCGATTTTTGGAGTGTTACCATGCTAATAACAGTACTCTTAATTATTTCTATTATTCATACAGCCTGGAATCGGAGACAACATATGCGCAGAACCACATACCATTAGTACATTGCTCTCTTCACTACCTGGAAGTGATGAAATCAGACAAAGAAAAACAGCCCAGGCTAGAATTAATGGACCTGCTTCTTTTGTTTCAAAAGCATTGAATGTTGAAATTATCGCTTCCATCTCTTGGACATCAGCCAAAGTAAAAACAAATGTGCCCTGCCTGAGGAATAACACAAGTGGTCTAACATTTAGAAAAGAAAATAAGAAAGGATATAGTTAAGGATGTATAAAGTGGCAATTTAACAATGGACACAAAGAATAGAGTGAACAATAGCATATAAGCCCTAGGGAATCAACCACTGTTTGGAATGATACTGATGAAGCTTAACAGTTTTCATTTAAATAAATAAAAAGAAAGTTACCCAGCACTAATAAGCATAATGTATATCTAAAGTTGCCTTCATGGCATGTTAAAATTACAAATCAGCTGATCCTATGGTCCTATGATTGCAAACCTAAAAATATAGATTGTCCTGAATTCCCAGTCACATTCGCGTCACAGGCTTGGCTAACAGCATGCTTATAGATCAGATAGTAGTTAAGCTTCACTCAAATCGGGAATCAGTGTTTGGATATGGAAACGTTCAACCTAGACAGCCCATATTATTTTAAAGATTTCTAGACTTGCTTGTAATGATTCAGTGGTTCTTATTTATATATAAGTATCAATCATATTGCATTCACATGAAAAAATAAATAATAAAAGAGCATATCATCTGTGCTTGGGGTTTCATAGTTAGTAGAATTTTTGACCCAATAGAAACCAATACTTAAGTCCACCTTTGTTATTTTAACTCGGTCGTGTCTAAAATACAACACCATGTCTTAATGATGAGGCAAACTAAATGCACGCAGCATCTGCCTCGCAAGTGGATTCCACCTCAGGACATTTCATACCTTGGTCTCTGCCAAAGGAATCTTCATGGAGTACATAAGCAAAAAAAATGTTGCACTGTAATGTGCAAGAAAGGTGATCTCCACAATCTAGATATTTAAATGCACAAACCAACAATTTGACCAAAGATATTTAGTGTTGCTAGATCATGACTTGCAGAATGAATACAAGATGCATCCTAACTAGCTAAGAACCTGAAAGGGATTGCATCGTGAACCATCTGGAGAAGACTTTCCAGGTCCAGGGTTTCTATAAGGATGAGAAGCAGCTGGACTTTGGTTTGATAAGAAGAACGTAGCGCTTCAGTTGATACTGCCAGATTTTCAAAGTTATAGGACCCAGATAAAGTTCCCTGCAGGACAAAGGTTTTGACTTGGACTGGATAAGAGAGTACTTTGTAAATGAATTATGTGACGAAGATAACAAAATACCTTATAGAGCAAACACAAAGTTTTCCACCTTTCACCATTACAAGTACAAAATGACTCATAATAAGCAAGGAAAAGAATGTCCAAAACCAAATTGTCTTCAATTAGTGTCTCCTCGGCCCACAAAGTGAAAAGGTCAAGATCCTAATAAAGCAACCAAACAAGATAAAATCAGGCTTTGTAACAAATACATAATTATTCAATTCCAATAAAAATGTGCATGCACACATGTACCCATGCGTCGAGACACATATTTGTACATGGGCATCAACGTAGAATTTCAAATATAAATAAGGAAACATAAGACATAAGATTGGTCAAGTCAGCAGAATAAACTATGATAGGATCGTCCAACTTGCTGAAGCTAAAACTTGTTCCACCTCTCCTGTCCTAGAGCCTCATATGAATGTAAAACAAGGACAGCTAATAAGATATTCCACACCCGAATACATGATTAGTAGGCTACTGCACAACGCATGACAGCAGGGACTTGTTACTTGTTAATATCTGGCTTAAAACTTCCCCCAGCTGTTGTTATAGCAATGACTCCCACAGTCCCACTAGGTCACCATAACCTTAGTTTCACGTAACATAACCTCCTTCAACACACTATCTCAAATAACAATATGAAATCCTAGTAAATGATAAATACCAAAGAGCTATCTCGTCCATTCTGTCAGCTTCCTATCGCCCACTACTGACATTGTAGCCAAAGCTGGTCAATCATGCAATAAGATGTTATTTGGACATCAATGAACTTCATGATTTGGCATTGCACATCCCATAAGAATGAAAAGAGTAAAGGGCGCCCGAAGAGGGAAAAACAATAATTGCTCCACTAGGGAGTAGGGATTTATAAATTTAAAGGGGTAAGATCATATCTGCCATCTAGTTTAGAAGACTCAAAATTAAACAGAGTACGTTCTTGAATTGGGATTTAAGCATACCATTTGTTCCGGGTGACTGGAGGAGAAAAGAAGTTGCAGCACATTTATCAGCTTCGCCTCCAATCCGTCAGTAATCAACTTTAGTGCTTCCTTCTTAATAGCATTACCATCTCCAGAGACGCTTTCCAAAGACACTGCATTAATGATCAATTCTCAACCGCTGTTGAAGTACAGCTCTAAAAATGTATCCTGATGCCATAGATAGTTTAAATGGAGGGGTGGAACTGATGATTGACTTACAAGCATGTGTGAGAATACTCCTGGTGCACTTCAGCAGGCACTGCCGTTCAACATAATAGTGAATAATCACCTGTGTGGGGGAAGAAAAGGGGGAAAACAAAGACAAATTAAGTGAGACAGACCACTAGCAATAAATGTCCCTCTTCTCTTTCTTTCCCTGTTTGTGGTTAAAAAAAATGTCTGATTCATGTAAGCAGGAAAAATTTTTGTTCACACTGAGCTCATCCAACCCGTACCCAAGTACTTAGAACATAGGAACCATTATAGCATCCAACATTCATATCAGTCGCAGTCAGACAATAAGTGAGATACTAACCGCATAGAAATACTCGTGCAGTATAGAGTCAAGAGCTACATCTTTGTTCTCGAGAGACCTTTCAACAAGAATGTACGATTGCACCTCATCCAGACACTTTAGACAAATAACAAGATCAGTTTCGTAGCAAATGGAGAATCAATGACCATCATTATGTTCTACAGAATACCAAATCTATCTGTTTCCAACAACATTAGAACATGCTATTAAATCAACTGAGCAGCACCCAATTGTTGAAAATTTGCATGTGGATCATTCCAATCTCAGAAAAAGTCCCATTACAACCGATTTCATTAATCCTAAAACTCCTTGATTAGTTTTACAAGAAGGTAATTGTCATTGATAATCCAAAACGAAATCAAAGTTCTCGCAGAGCCTGAAATCAGAAAAACAAAAACTTTTACACTAGGCCGAAGTTCAAATTTGGAATGTTTGGTTGATTTGAAAAATTCAAAATGTATGTATATATAAACACCAGATGTACACACATTTTAGAAGCAAAAGTGGCGTAAAAGCAGCAGTACAAACTCACCAAATAGGAGCTGACTTTCAAAGCTTTATCTTTAAACTCAGGCTTTATATTCAACTGGTGAGACCCAATTTTCACTTGCTGTGAATTCAAAGCCTCCCTCGAATTCTCATTGGGCGGCTTGAAGCGAGACACTGTGTCCACGAACCAAGCGTGATTGTCCGTTAATTTCTTTACCTAAGCAAAATACCAACCAAGTTCAACACTTTTCATACATGCATATATATATATATAGAGAGAGAGAGAGAGAGAGAGAGAGAGAGAGAGAGAGAGAGATGGGGGGTTTACCAGAATGGGAGGGAGGTCGGAGGAGAGAGAAGCATTTTCGAGCTCGGTGAGTAAGAGAGAGAAAGAGTCCCACCAGAGGGAGGCGTCGATGGACTTAGGGCTCGCCATTGATGGAGCTTCGAAGTTCAGAGAGGTGAACTTAAAACCCTAAAAGAGTGTTTCTCAGTTTCAGAATCATAAACCCAGAAAATTTTATGATATTTTATTCTTTTTCGCGCTTCAGAGTTCAGAACAAGTGAGAAAACCTGAATCTGGGAAAATTGGGCTCCAAAATTTTTAGTTTAGTTGGGTCAGAATGAAAATTGGATTTCGGATTGGGCTCAGGTTTGGGCTTCGTGCGGGTATCTGCTGGATTTCCTAATGTGGGCTCTAGGGGGTCCCATGTTATTGTTTATTTTTTTCGAACTTAAAACCTCTCACTCACTTACCCTAGACCTGAAATCATCAGAGTTGCAAAGGGTTTGTAGCTTTTTTTTTTTTTTTTTTTCTTTTGGGTGAAAGAAGAGAAGGATTAGGCGAGAATCTCTTCACAAATATTCACTTGTGAAGCACTTACTCTTTCCCCAAACAAAAATAAGATCATGGCACCCAAAAACCCACCTCCCCCCCCCCCCCCCACCCATGCCAAATTTTATTAAGCTACAAGCAGGGGCACTCGACCAAAACTTGCAAACAAATAATCAACAGAAACGGTAAGTAGGTAATAACTTAGGGGTCATTTGATAACTATTTCGTTTTCATTTTTTTTTTATCTAGGGAACAACTTACAGTAAGTAGAAACAGCTAGTACATAACTAAATGCTAATGAAAATTATTCATAGGCCATTTGATAACCATTTTGTTTGGTAAGTAGGAAACAAACGGATGTAGACGATTTAATCTCCTAAAAGTAGTTACCAAACTATATTTCAATTTTCAGTTTTTAAAAAAATGAAAACTAAATGGTTGTCAAACTGAAACCAAATCGGTGTAAACGATTTAATCTCCTACTAGCAGGTGTACCCGCACATTGCCGCGGGATTTTAAACTTTGTTCAAAGCTTGAAAATATGTGGCAAAGAGTACTATTTACAGGTTACATTATATGTAACATCCATGTAAAGACTTGAAACTTTTGGAGATGTGGGTACACGATAATTAGGAAGTGTTATTTACATCCATATATTACATAACAAAAATTTGGGATATTAATGCGCCCCAGGTAGTGTTTTTCAAAAGCTATGGTCCTACTCATACTTGTAAATTGCCCTTTTATGTCCAAACTGTAGAAAGTTCAAAAACTAAAGAATTGTTCCTTTATAGACACCCAAATGCGTAACTCCGATAATATTGTCTCCTTCATTCTCCACAACAACGTCAAACAGAAAATCAAAAAAATAAATAAATAAATAAAACTCAAAGCATAATTCAAGCACTTATTCAATCACATATGATACCAGATTTTATGCCACCAAAGTATTTGATAATATACCTCATCCCATACCAATAGAATCATGGAGGGAAAATTAGAATATCGGAATGTATAGCCACACTAAGCAGTTAACTGTGCACTTAAAGCATACTCATTCAAGAAGAACATGGCATCACAACAGGAGAATCACTACCTCAAGATGTTCTTGTAGACAATGTGCAATGGTTTTCTTTTCTTCCAAAAGCCTATTTGAGAGTTTCCGCAGATTGCTTACTAATCACTTAATTTCTCGTCCGTCGCCCTGAGGACACATTAGACATGAACTAAAATTTTTTTAAGGCTGAAATTAAAAATTCTAATTTTTTTTCCTATAAATACCTAAGTCATTTCTACATCATTTTTCACATCCTTTTTATAAACACCCTCCCTTACCTCTTCCAATAATCTAAATTTAAAATTTTCAATATTTGTTTCAAATGTCACATCTTCAACCAATGGATGAGAAATCCAGAGGCTTATTTATTTAGCGACAAGTGACACTCAAAACATATTCAACCCTTATTTTAATATGGTAATTTAATTCAATTAACCAATAAAATTAAAGAACAAACTTATAATAATAAATTATTGAGAGGGCTAAAAAATAGCATCCTTCGGTTGGAGATAGTATATAAATATGGTGTCACATCCCGACTCAGGCCCCCACCACATCCCGGGCTTGACTCCACCATAGCACGATATTGTCCACTTTGGGCCCCTACCACACCCTCACGGTTTTGAGTCTGGGAACTCACACGAGAACTTCCCAGTGGGTCACCCATCCTGGGAATGCTCTCGCGCGAACTCACTTAACTTCGGAGTTCTGATGGAACCCAAAGGCAGTGAGCTCCCAAAAGGCCTCATGCTATGTAGAGATGGGAATATACGTATGAGGTTTACAGGATCCACTTCCCTGCATGACGGCCAGCACGCCTTGACTTTGGTTGGGGTGTGTCATATGGGTCGACACTGTTCATTAAAAAATAATTTATTACAGGGCTATAATCTGGACAGGGGCTAAACATAACTCATTTAGTTGGAGATGGCCTTAATGCCCATCAGTCCAAAATCTTGTAAAGTTGATGAGGTGGCACAAAGAAGGTCTTGATTGCCTTGGGCATGAGTACTCCATAAAGGGTATTGTTAGGAAGACCAAATTTTGTAAACCAAATTATGTGGTTGTTGATGATTGGATTATTACTTAAGTGTTGATTAATGTGCTTATTTCGTATTAGTGACACATTATTTGATTTTACAAATTTTGTTTAAAAATTTAGTCTACCTAGCATTACCCTTTCATAAATATGGTACCTAATAACACCTCGGGGATCTCTGGCTTGTTAAGGTAAGCCCAACAACAAAGTGAGACTTTTGGAGGTGCTCTTGATGATGCTAAAACAGGAACAGGTACTGCATATGCTGTTTTAGGGACAACCAGGGGTGAAGCCATGAAGGGACCGTAATGGTCTTTGGTTGACCTTGACATTTTTTTCACAGAGAAAAACTAGATTACCTTTCTGATTTTCTAAGATTCTTTTAAAGGACTAGAGCCTTAACCAAAGGGAGAGAGAGGGTAGGTAAGAGAGTTGGTTTTCCTGGAGTTTAATCTTTTTCACATGGTACTGGTGGCTGTTGAAAAACATGAATTATGCTTTCATCCATGTGTGATTTTCGTGTTCTCGTTAGCCCTTTTCTATTAGATTGTTTTCTTTGCCAGTTAACAAGGCTCCCAAATGGTTAGAACATATTGATGAAATGGAAAGAAATTGAAAAATCAACACCATTGTCACCAAGCAAACAAACATCATAATCGGACCAAAAATCTAGAGTAGCAAAGTAGTGGTTAAGACGATGACCAAACATTGGATGAGACGATGACCAGATGATGCATGAGACGATGGCTAAGAAATGGATTAGTGAGCGTGAGAGATGGATTTTGCGAGTGTGCTGCAACGTTGTTTTAGGGCTAGTGTTGTTAGCAGTGTTGCAACATTTTTTTTTAACATTTTTTAGAGGCCCCTCCTAATCCGAAATCATAGCTCTGCCACTAGGGACACTTGTTGTAGTGGGAGCATCATATGAGACCGAGAAGGAATGACAACTGCTCCTTCCTCCTCCAGATGATCCCCTGCTTAATGATCGTAAGTTTGAAAATTTTTGGCTTGAATCCATATGGCATAAACGAATTTAACTTGAGTCAGTTTGTCTATGGATTTAGAAGCATTAGCAGATACTGAATACAAGGTTGGGTTATGGGATGAAGCTTAAAATCAGTGTCTTTAAATTTCAATAATAACAACATACGAATATGATTTTATAATGATAACACAAAACTCAAGTATGAATGACACACCTCAACCTGGAATGTCCACCTGGACATCGGAATCATGATGTGCTGTCTGACACCTGGAAGGTGACAAAGGCATAACGTGTAGTGATGTGGAACATATAAATAAATTAAAACCTAAAAGTGACTAATTTAGAGTGCGCATGTGAGTAAGATTGAACCCATATCACACAAGTGATGTTAGAGTATAGATAAATTCCAGTAAAAGAAGAGTAAGGACATTTATACCGAAAAGAGAAGTTTCCTAGATGACAGCTTTTACCAGCAATCATCATCATCATGAAACCTTTGCCATTAAAATCCTGGAGGGGCGAAAAATAAGGATGAGTGGGCATGAAAAATAAAGTTTTATAAACTGTTTTCGAAAATGTATAACCCTTCGCTGTAAAACAAGTATAAAGTTTTCTGAAAATATTATAATACTAGTGTGTAATACGGTACCCTGCAGCAGAAGTGAATCAAAAGATGCAGGATACAACAACAAGGTATCTCAACATTAAATCTCAAATCGTTATTACAAGGAATCAATGCTCATTAATTTATGTAGGCACACAAGTCCATTACAGAGATAATTTAGACAATGGAACAGGTTGAGTGTAGGTTTTACATTCTAGTACTACATCATGTGAGATGCGCTGGTCGCATCACATACGAGTCTAAAACATCACACAAAATGACAGGCTGTCACCAAACTCTGAATCCAAAGTGAATGTAAACGATGCATGTGAACTACACAAAGTTGGTCCTTGGCCCAGGACGGTACAAATAACTAAGAGATACTGTGCAAACATGTAATAATGAGCAGATAAAACGCAAGAATGTCATGCCACAAGTTTATCCTCACAAATAATATTAAAAACATAAAGTGTACGAAAAATCTATTTGTAAAGCTAAACACGACATGTCACATCATAGTATATATAAGCAAAAACGAAATGACTCACTCAAAGACACATGCATGTCGTAACCGTCCAACTATTCTGCCCGTAGTACACCTTCAAATGGTCCTCTCCTAAACGGAAAATTACTACACTAATCACTAAAGTAATAATAATTAATGCAATAAACTTAATTTCCCTTAGTTTGCACAAGAATGAGATTTTCGTCGGAAATTTGGAAAGAAATTCAAACGCCTCGTTGGGAGCCATTACACAACTAAATTTAATATATAATATATCAAAACGAAGCTTAGAACGAGAGGAATAAGATTAAATCCATTTTAATGCCAAAAGTTGGCCGGAGTTGCTTGAAAAAGGGCCTAAAAGCTACTGCCCGACATGGAACCTTCTGAACAGAAGGGATTCGAGCATACAAGCTCAAATCTGTGGCCTAGAGATTGTGGGAAGTCGTCCTACACCTTCAAACTCGACCAAATCAACAAGGTTTGGCGAGGTTTGGCATGAAAAATCCTACAACTTGCCGG